AGAAATAGTGGAAGACATTCCTGTTTGCCTATGTACTTATGGGATAAAAACTAATCCAGGACCAGAGTATATTTTCTGGCTTTTTCAAAGAGAATTTGGGGCTTTTTAATATTTGTACTTTTTATTTTTAAACAATGCTGATTTATTGAGATTTGTTTAAGACCTGTAAAATTTGCTAAGCTCCTTTGAGAAGAAGACTGAAGTAATAATTAATTAATAAAATATATTTATAAAAAAAATCATCTTTGGATTTTTCTTTCAGCATCATGGAAATAAATTTCATATGATTTTCTTAGATGGTGGATATATTAAGAGTCATCCCATTGACATTCTATGTTAAAAGCAGGCTGATGTGGCTAAAAATAACAATTCCTTAGTAATTTCACAGAGTCATCAAGGGAAGGAAATTTTTTTACCAGCTTTCCTAAAATGCAGGTGTGAAAATTTACTCCATCTGACTAAAATAGATTTTTAGTCTGTTTCTTAATCAGTATCTTCTACTCTTGCCTTTATAATGAATATGACTAACTCAGTAACCATGACTGCCAAAGACACCAATGATTTCCAGATCATGAAAAGCTGGAGAGACAAATATAATATCTTTAGCAATGTCCTTTTACTATTCAATTTTGACAATATAGAATTAATTTTTTAAGTGAAAGTATTTAATTTGTTTATCAGTGAAATACTAGCAGGCCAGAGATTTCAACAGAAGGAAGCACAGCTTTTTTTCATCCTGGTATCATTACTTGGCTACCTATAATAGAACAGTAGTGATTCCATAAGCAGCTACTTTAGGAGGAATAGCTTGTTCTTTTATTGTACCTAGTTACTCTGCTGTTATAACAATATATTGAAAAACTATAGATTTGGTCCTGCTTGTATTCAGGAATGGACACAGTAAGAACACTTGAATGTCTAACAACATGAATGTGTGTTTATGTACAAAATGTACTCTGTCATAAAATTCTAGCTGTACTGTACTTGAAAACAAAACAAATATAGGTTGTTTTAGCTGTATTTTTTGCCCCAGTGAGGAAAAGTCTTTGCAAAACATTCTTCAGGTATAAAGAATCTTAAACTTTGGAATGAAATAATGAGCAGAATTTTTCCTTAAAGTAGAAGGTTCAGCTATTGCTATTATAAGTAATCATCATAGTTTGCAACTGTTAATCCTGTAAGATCTTATTAACATAATTATAAACACCACAATAACTCCAAATAAACATCTGCATGCTCACGATAATGGGCAATAAATATGCCTGTATTAGACAAAAGTATAGGGATAAAGCAACATTTCATTCACATTGAAACATAATGCCAATTAAAGTTGTCTTGGCATGTTTGAAAAATTGCTTTTAATAGAAAGATTTGGCAGACAGACAATTACAAATAGAGAACAAGAATGGAGAAAGGATCCGTTTCTTTCTAGCTTTTGTTTAGTCACGTTTATAACCATACACTGGGATTGCTGACCATAAACCTTTTAACTTAGCAATTAGCTGGACAATGTCGCTGTTGCTAGTAACAGCATCCAAATATTCAATTTTCCTGATTCATGGATACAGGGCAGGTCCACATGTTTTTCTTCTTTTTCTCTTTTGGTTTAGAAAGATTCCATAAAGCCACTAATAAAACTAATAATACAGTCATGATCAAAGAGGAGAAAAACAGCTCACGTACCTAATGGGGACAAAAAACAACTCATTTTCTGGAAGTATGAATGGTTTGCTAGAAAAATTAATGAAATAAGTTTTTTCTGAAATAGATAAACACAAGTTTTTTAGGGTTCTTTTTAACTTTTCACATAATAAATTAGTGAGATGTAGGAAAGTAGATGCAATAGTCTTGTATACTCAGAATGAAACTCCTGTGGAAAAACAAAGTACTAATATGGTTGAGATTTTGCTCACATTTTAATATTTTAGAAGTCTTTCTTTAAGTACTAAGTTAACTAGAACCCAAACTTTCAAGGAACTGGCAACATTAACTTGATTTTCTTAAACAATATTATGTCATATGAAAATAAGGAAGGTTTATATATCTTTTTAAAATTCAGTGGGCAAGTTTTCCAAGTTCAACAATGTAAGGAAGGTTTTACTTAGGGCACATCATCCATGCAACTGAAGTAACTTTATGATTAAAAGAACAACTGTAAGAAGTTCAAAGGCAAGGTACAATGCCATCTTAACAGAAGGTCCCATTCAAATTTGATCTCGTAAGTAAATTTAAGATTGTGCTTAAATTTCTCAAATATTAGATCTTGTCCAGCTTTGGTAAAATTATTTACTTATTACATTATTTTCCAATATATTTGAGATGTTACCAGAGACTTTATGTGCACATTGATAAAAATACTCTTCTATACTTGGATGTTTTTAGATTTTTTTCAAATACTCATTAGCATTAAATGAAATTATTGTTTATGAATATAAGTTTATTCTCTTTCTAGTACAGTTAAGATCATCTATTGCATTTCGTACATAGCTTCTCTCAAGTTAATGTGATTTAACATGTGTAAATTTGGCTTTAAACTAATTAGATGCTCATGCCTTTTCTCCTATAGTTAATTTACACCCACTGCAGAATATGAGCTGTCATCACACTAATGAGTTTTTTCTCTTCTTGTAAAAAGGCAAACCTATATCATTCCAGCTACGTGTAATCTGCAAAAAATAATATTCTCAGCTAATTGTTCCAGCGCTAACCATTTTCTTGTTTTGATGTCATTAGATGTAAACCTGCCACTTTGATCATGTCCCTAGGTCAAACAACTGCAGTAATACAAGGAGCAAACATACATGTAAAGCAAAGAACAATGACATCATAAGAAGATACAAGAAGAGTAAGGAAAACACACATCACAATACCTAAGCTGTTAGAAATAAATAAATAAATTTGTGTGCACTCAAATGTGTGTGTACATTGATTTCTTAACTTATAGAAACAATTTCCATTGAGAGATGAACAAATCTAGTTTATTATTTTTTAATAATATCTTTATGTGTTTTTGAATACTTTAAACTAAACAATAGGGTCAAGTAGCAATGTTTCCTTAAAGTACAATGAATTGTAGCTTTATATTGAAAACTAGAATATTCATCCTCTTAACATCATTTCAAATATAGAATAACGACAGAAGTCACTATTCCATTTAAGAAATCTGCCTATCTTGTCTTTAGATTTATGTTGCATGCTAGCACGCATGTTCTAGAGATTCTAAAAAGAATTCTGTCAATATACCTGATGCTTACATTAGAATTTAACCTTACTTTACTGTATTTTGAATGCTAGTTTTGAAATAAAGATTCTGAAATATATTTTTTTCCAATATTGGGTTCTCAATATATTGGGTTTGTTTCGGTCTTTCAATCCCTTATGAACATTTGTTCCTCCAGGATGATTAGAGGGCAAAAACTATTGTAATATTTTTCTCCTATTTGAGGTCTTCACTGTTGGGAGTTTGGTAGTGAAGGGAGAAAATACAGGAAAAATCAATAACAATATCTTCCATTATTAATCACCAAAGGCTTAGGATTAAAGATGAAACCTTCTATGTCTGACAAAGTCCTAGGGGAACCTAGAAGGTGACTGCTCTGCATGGAGAAAAATGAACACATATTGTTAACCACAAAACTACCGGTCTACAATATTGGTTCTTGTCATATCTTGTATTTTTCTCCCCTCTGCTAAATCATGCCCATTAAACAAAACAGTCAAATTTAGAGGAAATAAAATATTATCTACACAGCCTTGTCTTCTTTTATAGACACATGGGCTTGATCTTATCTGAGTAGCCTCAATTATACTTCAATAGAAAGGGAAGAAAGGAACAGTGTACAGTGTTTAAAGATGAACAATTGTTATTAAGACATATAATAGCTGCAAAAAAAACTGGTTGCATTTCACAAATTTTTGATTGGGAGGTTTTAGCCTATTGCAGCAAATAAATACAAATAATCATTTTACGTATTAATAATAAATAGGCATATTGAAACCTAGCTAATTTGAATACACATCCCTTGCTATCGTCTTTAATATATGAAGTACATTAAAGCCTATAGAGAGTCAAGACACGGGATCAAGAAAAGGCTTTCCTATTAATCAATAACTATTTCTCTGTTCATTGAGACAACCTTCTGTCAGTTTCTGGCTAATTCAAGAAATCCCAAATATCTTAACAAAGGTCATTGGCATGTGGATTCAAATTATAAGGTTGCAAAAAAAAACTTTTCATGATTCATCAGGTATTGGAAGATTTAACGATTTAAGCAGCAATCCATTATTCTGAATGCCAGTGGCAAATTATTGTTTAATGCCCAACTGATGGTTCTTATTGATTCTTTATGGCATAACTGATGAGTTTCCCAAATAGTTGATACCATGCTCAAATTTTCCAAAATATCTAAGGCAAACCGCTTAGAAGCAGCTTAATAGGTAAGGTATATGCGTTTAGATAGCCAGATGGATTGATAAGGCATTTGCACACAATGAGCTTGCTACCGTAGACACACATTAAGCTCTGTGAGCAACCTTAAAGGAACACTTTAAAATACATATATCTGTAGACTTGGGAAATAAAGCGTCCACGACTTAATGATACCCCCAAGGACATTGCCAGCAAGTTCTACCGATTCGGGAGCTTAGGATCGGAGTTCAAAGAGACCGTGCACCGACACAATTAAATCAATGGAGACTCGGTCTTCCAACCGTGGGCGGGATGAACTCTCAAGTGTTTTTTTATATCTGCTGCGGACAGCAGAACAATTAACTCGCATTACCTTTCGGATGATCCAGGGAGTTTGTCCCCCTTAGAGGAACTCAGCCGCGGCTGACTTGGTGGCATGGAATGAAATGGGTGGATGCGTCTCTCTCCCTAACGGGGCTTCGAAGCAGGACCCCAAGAGCGGGCACTCCTCGCAGGGGTCCTACCGTGGACCGGCTTCCTCCCTAGAGCCGAGGCAAAGAAGCCCACCCAGGCAAAGCGCCCCTTTCCTTACCTTCCCCTCCACATTCACATGGCACCGTCTGTTCCCCCAAATCCGCGGCTTGGAAAGAGAGAGAAAGCCGGAGGGCGCTGGTCTTCGCTGAGCGTCTGCCGGCGCCTCGTGCTCTCTTTTGACGGCACCTCACGCCCAGCCCAAGAGAGGTCGCTGAAGTGGTGGCCGGCGACGACCCTTCTCGCCCGGCGGTACTGAGGGGAGAAGGAGGGGGAGCGGGGAAGGCGGGTGAGAGGCAAGGGGTGTTGCGTGCGAGAAGGCGGCGGGGCGAGGCGCCCAGGCAAGGCGAGGGCAGGCAGGTGTGGGCAACCGCTCGCTTTCTCCCCTTCAGCCAGCCAGGAGGTGCGCCAGCCTCTGCTTGTCCGCGCCCCTCGCCATGTGCTTCTCCCGTGCTTCTCTTCCTTTGCCGCTCCCCGAGGATGAGGGGCTGCGCCCACCGCCCCCTTCCCTTGCGCCCGAGCCGTCTCCACCTCCCGCTAGTGGCTCCGGCTATTGCGGCTCGCCCGACGTCCCCTTTCTTCTGAACGGTCTGTCTCCGCGCGCACACCCCTTCTTTGCCTCCTGGTCCCATTTATGAAGCGCCTTCGCCATCACGTGTCTAATGTGCCTTTGTCCTGCCGTTGGCAGCCGCGGGAGCAGAGCCCGGCAACGGCGGCGGCGAGCGAGGGCGGGAGAAAGCGGGGGAGGAACGGAGGAGAGATCCTGAGCGCCAAAACTTCGCGCGTGTGGCACAAGGGGCAGCTGCTCAAGCAGCTTCACGGGGCAGCAACGCTTTGGCCAAGCGGGAGGCAAACGGGCTAGTTCGGCCCCAAAAGGAGCGTGGGGCTGGCTGAGGAGGACGGGGCGGTGGGCTATCAAGCTGGCCCCCAAGGAACGGGACGTTGATGGGAGTGTTGAGGGAGAGAAGGCTTCGGCCAACTTGTAGGGCAAGGAGAGGCTGCCCGGCATACAAGGCCAGGGTGTGGGTGGGTGTATCTCCGCGTAGTTTCTGGAGGGCGAGCGAAATGCGCGCCTTTGGAGAGGAGAGGAACCCCTTGGGGAACAGGACTACCATACGGGGCGTCGCGCACCCGCTCCCGCCCAATTCTCTTGGAGAGCTAGGCGGCATAGCGCTAGTGGCCATGCAGCTCGGTGCCTTAAATTCACCAACACTACTACCACAACGCCCTTTTTAAAGGCCGAGGGGATGCGGGCGGGGCTGACGGAGAGAAGCGGCGTTTTCTTCGCGAAATACGAGCTCGGTTGCTTCGTCGTTTTGGGGAAAGCACCCGGGCCGTCCCGCATAAGTGGCGCGTTCGTTGTGGCCATCGTGGCGAGCCCTGGAGACTCGCAGGATCTCCCTATAGGGCGGCCTTCCTCAACTTAACGTCCTCCAAATGCGTTAGGATCACGAGTCCCAGAATTCGCGGCGGGGCTGAAATCTGGCGCCCCAAAGCATCTGGAAGGGACAAATGACCGAAGGCTGCACTTCTAAGGAATGGGGTTGGCGTCCGACCGAGGCTTGCGGAAAGTGGCGCTGCGGAAGGGCTTCTCTATTTATTAGTTACCACTATACCTTGAAAGGCAGCCTGGGTCAGCCCTCGCCCCGGGGAAGACGACTAACGAGCTAGCTGTGCCTTTTCCCTTCCTTTCCTTCAACTCCCCGTTTTGCAGAGAGGTTCTCCCCGTTCATCTAGTTGCGGGCTTTCAATTATTCACAAGCACGAGCCCTTCTCCCCGAGAGATCTCTTTGGAACGGCGGAGATCCCCCCCCCCTTTCTTTTCCTTGGCCACCCTTCTTTTAAGTTGGCACCAAGTGCGAGTGCCAACATTTAACTTTTCGTGGGGCGGAGGCAGGAGAGGGTGCGCTTCTCGATAAGGTCAGGCGGCTGAAAGTGTCTGTTGGCTGCCTGCGATTCTCTTCCTCGCCGGGGCACGTGGATCCGTGCGCCATAGTCCGTAATTAACCCAAGGTTTATTATTGGTTGATCGTGACTGAGCTTAAATCTCCGGCCGTTTTCTTTCCCGCCCTTTGGGAAACGCTGGGCTCAACCGGGGGAAATCGGAAGGCCGGCGAAGTGTTGCAGTTTGACAGCAAAGTGAAATAGTGTAAGAAAAGAACTAGAGCCACGTCATCTCGGGCAATTTTTAGTTCAAAATGCACTGATTCCCTTTATGGGCTTTACAAGGCCATATGCGCTTTGGAAATGGTTAGGGTTATGAGTATGACGTGAGAGCAGAATGTTGTTAAAAATCGATGTTGTCTCTTTAATTTAATAATCCCTTGGACTGCAAGGCGATCAAACCGGCCAGTCCTAGAGGAGATCAACCCTGGCTGCTCTCTAGAAGGCCAGATCCTGAAGATGAAGCTCAAATTCTTTGGCCACCTAACTAGAAGGAAGGACTCACTGGAGAAGAGCCTAATGCTGGGAAAGATTGAGAGTAAAAGAAGAAGAGGATGACAGAATGAAATGGTTGGATGGAGTCACTGAAGCAGTAGGCGGACTCCAGAGGATGGTAGAGGGCAGGAAGGCCTGGAGGAATGTTGTCCATGGGTTTGTGATGGATCCGACATGACTTCGCAACTAACAACTTTAATAGCTGGATGGCTTTGTCTTATGTGATCAATGCTGCAAATACGCATGGCTGAAATATCTCCCATCTGCTTGATTGTCTTATCTATACTGTATTTAAAATGATCTCAGTCTGAGAACCCTGGAGAAATTATATGTATGCAGTTCTTGGTACTGCTTTGCAATAGGCTTTTGTTTAGAAGCCTAAACTGTTTCAGGCTTCTATTACAGAATGCTTAGTGAATAATGGCTATTCCCAGAACACTAAGTGATATAAACCAGCCCTCCCTACTCTTGAAGAAGCACCCTAAGCCATGTTATCCATGGGCACTTTGAATGCACTCAGATTTTCACATATAAGTGGTATCATGTGCTTGTTTTCCTGGATGTAATATTCCCTCTTTTCAGTATCACTGATTGCCAGGTAGGCATAAATAGGACTTCTGTAAAACAAGGGTCATTTTTGTGCCCTTTACTGCCTCCCCTCCTTACATGTTCATTTTTTCTTATAAGCCTCCATTACAGTGGTGGGTTTCAAAAATTATTCGAACCTGTGGCCTCCTTTGTGGGAGTGGCTTGCCGCCCATGTGACCGGATGGGAGTGGCTTGTCGCCCATGTGACCGGATATGAAGATGCCGACGACACTTGTCAGAACCACCTTAAATTACCTCACACACATCACTGGCATGCATGAGAATATGATGTAAACTTGTTTTTTAAAAGGCATCTTTGGTTTGCGTTAAAACAACTTCAACACACGCAATATTCTGATTGCACCACAAATGCAGTAGTCATCCTTACCTTTCACAGAGGCACTGAGTTTTATAAATATGAGCATGATAGTGTAGAATAATCATATCCAAGGACCAGTGATGGGTTTCAAAAATTTTTGGAACCTCTTCTGTAGGTGTGGCCTGCTTTCCGGGTCCACTGGTGGAACCTCTTCTAACCGGTTCAGTAGATTTGACGAACCAGTTCTACTGAATAGGTGCGAACTGGTAGGAACCCACCTCTGCTCTATTATCTATATATTTGTTTTACATAGTCCAAGATAATACATTTTATTATAACAAATGTTGGGTCCAAGCCTAGGACTTTCACATTCAGATTTGCTTTATTAGCTCTTAATGCAAATATTTCAGAGTTTCTGAAATGAAGACAATATGCAAACTGATTAAAACTAAACACCTTTTCAATATAGGTTCTTCCTTAAGGATGGTAATACTACACCATGATTTAATGAAAAAAAATGTCAATTTTTGTGCTAAATATTACAAGATTAGTAGTTGGACTTCATAAAACCAAGTACTGGGATTGGTACTGGTGCCACTGGAATCTGGAACCAGGATTTGTTTTCAGTCAATATTTCATTAAGGCACATGAGCAGCACTGCCATGGAGGGAGTTAGGAACCGGTGGACTCATAGTTCTTCACAAATCTCTGTGCTTGCTAGGAATAATAAGCTGTATGACTTTGTATCTGGCTTTTCAGAAAGTAACTTTGGCTGCTCAGAGAGAAGAATTTGTACTAGAGGGTCATAGCTCTGTAGAATTACAAAGCCAAGGCAATGGCAATGGCTGTGACCAAGCCATTGTTTGTACCTATGAAACTATGATTTAATATTGGATAACATTAGAGTTCTATATAGGACATGGTAGAATATCTTCAAAACTTAAAAGTAGAACATCTACAATTTGTATCTAATATTCCTTACATCTATTGAGGCATGTTTTCACAGCTTGGAGTATATGTCCTCGTACATAAAAGATAATGGTCACAAATAAGGTTGTACCTACAAAATCTGTGTTTCAGTTACATCTTGACAATGGCCTTTCTGTCCATCCTGCTTAGAATATCAATAATCCAAGCTTCACAGATTTGCTGTAAGAATAAATAAGATATTTTGTTCGAGAAGATGGCAGATGAATATAACTATATTGGCAACATGCAGAAAATACAATTTCTTCAGAGAGTAACATCTTTAAATATAGAACTTGATGTTTGAAGTGAACCACTTGAAACATGGGGTTCCAGGAACTAAAGAGCCTCTTAATGCGGGTGAAGAAGGAGAGTACAAAAGTTGGCTTGAAACTCAAGATCTTGGCATCCGGCCCTCTCAATTCCTGGTAAATAGATGGGGAAGAAATGGAGGTAGTGACATTTTATTTTCCTGGGCTCCAAAATCACCATAGATGGGGACTACAGCCAAGAAATTAAAAAAAAGCACACTTGCTCCTGGGGAGGAAAGCTATGGCAAATCTAGACAGCATATTAAAAAGCAGAGACATCACCCTGCCAACTAAAGTGCATATAGTCAAGGCTATGGTTTTCCCAGTTGCAATGTATGGCTGTGAAAGGTGGACCATAAAGAAGGTTGAGCGCCAAAGAATTGAAGCCTTTGAACTCTGGTG